TTGAAAGCATTCTTACTTTACAGCATTTTTTTACACCTGCCTAAAACTTTTGCACAGTACTATATATGTTGTGGTCATTCTTACAAAATGTCCACCATGCAGAAGAGGCTTTCCTAATAGTTGCGGGGAATCACAAAACCTATTTACTAGAAGGCAAACTAATTAATTTGTGGTTTTGTGCAAGTCTAGATTTGCACATGTGACACCTCTCTTGCGGGAGTTGTATTGGTTGCCGATTTACTTCCGGGTCCAATTCAAGGTGCTGGTTATCACCTTTAAAGTCCTACATGGCTTGGGACCAGGCTATTTGAAGGACTGCCTTTTCCCAATTTCATCTGCCCAACCCACCAGATGGGGGAGGCAGATTTTGTTAAGGATCCTCCCGCCATTAAGGAGGTCCATCTAGCGGGACCAAGAAGAAGGGCCTTCTCTGTGGTGGCTCCCTCCCTGTGGAACATTATCCCCATGGAGATAAGACTGGCCCTCCCCTGATACTCTTTCGTAAGGCCCTGAAGACATGGTTTTGCCAGCGGGCCTTTTTTTCGTGCAATTTATATGGCCGCCCAACTCACTCACTGTGACTCCAGGTGGCTTACAGAAATAAAAATCCCAAATACAAAAACCCACTACACCCCCCCCCACCTCCCTGGAGACAACGACACACTTACCCTGTCCATTTAATGGGCTCTGTATTGACATGGGATCCCCAGGCCCACTGGCAAAAGCATGTCTTCAGGGCCTTACAGAAGAGTATCAAGGTGGGGGTCCATCTTAACTTTGCAGAGATGAAGTTCTGCAAAGTTAAGATGGGCCCCCACCTTGATACTTCCTATATTTAATCCTGACATTATATTTAATGAAAGAACTCATTGAAGCTTAACTCTAACGCTATGTTTGTCAACTCAGCAATACAAATATTTACCCTATCCCAAACATCAGCATATACCTCCAACAGTAATATACGTAAGAACCCTCTCCCCAACAAAAAGCAAGCCCAGGACTCTGAATAGCAATAGGGACTCATCTAAAATCTCACCTGATATGATATTAAATGAAAGAGCTGAAGGAAGCCTAACACTAACCCTAAATCCATCTTCCTGACCATACAAATATTTACCCTATGTTGTGAGCAGCATCTGTGGGGTGGCTAGGGGGTTCAGACTGAGAACACTAGTGCTGCATCATTGTGGCACGATGCAAGCACCATGCTTTTCTGTGAGCGTCTCAAAGTTGTGTACATGCCCCCAAAATAAAGATTTTCCACACAATGCTGCCTGACTGTTGTGTTGTTCTGACAAAAGTAGCCAGATCCTGCAAGTGCCATTAAATCCAATCATTTCTCTTGCCATAAATATGATGCTGCTGCTCAATTGGCTTTTGGGAATAGCTGGATCTCATGACTAAACATGTATCTTGGGATGAAGGTGATGTGGGAAGCAGGCTGGCTTCTCCCACAGCCCAGTCCAATATATTTAAGACCATCACCTACTGCTAAGATGTGTGTTAGGATTGTCATTAAGCAAACCCAATAGTCTGACTATACAGGCATGTATATGTTTATGTTTCAGTCTAGCAGACTGAAAGGACTTTACTTATAGTCTTACACCATAGTTTTTCCTGATTCAACCCAGGCATATTCCAAGGCACGTATTTAACACCTAGTGAGATCTGCTAGATAGAATGATTGCTGGCTCTCATTGTTTATCTTGTGCCACTGCTTGGGCCTTTATCTCATTTGATTGCTCCTTGTCTTTCAATGAGCAAGGACAGGGAGACCAATGAAGTTCTACTATTGTTCCTTCTCTTTCTTGAGTAAACTGTCCTTTCCTAGATAGCTGATCTCTGTTTCCAACTTATAGGCAATGGAAAGGAGTTGGAGAAGTGGGATACAGCACATTGTGGTTGCTTAATTAAATAGAGCACGTCTAATGTTCTGGAATGCTCAGGGGGACAGGGATGCTATTTTATTAAATCCTCTTGCCAGTCAGAAAATCTGACTGGGTTTTTCTCTTTAGAGGGTATAGATTGTGCATCATAAAGTCACAAATAGTTGTAATTTTTCCTGCTGAACTATTAAGATGGGTGTGTTACAGCTTTTTTGGGGGATGGCAGAATTAATCTTACTATAGGGATGTATCTGTAGGAGAATGGGAGCGAGCAAGTGAAAGCGAGCACACATGCACACTATTCTACATAAGGGGAACTGAGAGGTTACGCTTCCAGATTACACTGAAAAATATCTATACGTATAGAATAGTAAAGTGTGCAGGATAAAAGAGGAAAGCAGGCAGGCAGGCAGAGGCCACCCACTGTACAGCTGATCTCTGCCTTCTGTCTCAGAGGGCCAATTTCTCCAAATGATGTGGGAAGTATCTCTAAAAAGAGAGGAAAGAAGTAAAATAAGGTACATTACCTCCAGAAGCTTACTCCAATTTCATTGTTATTGTCCAATGTATATCTGTACATTTCTGGCACACAAGCCCCTAGCAGTTTACAAGGCCATGTTAAATTGTATTAACCAACCATTAATTTTAATGAAAACAACATGTAAAAATATTCACATAATGATATTAACATAATAACATATTAACATAACAACAACAGAGCCGATCCATCCATCATAGAAATAGAAAGGCTAAGATTAAACATGAAATGTTTGCTTAAATATATAGTAATGTTTTTCTTAAAATCAGCCAGTGAGGACAAAGACCACACTCTTGAGAGAAAGAAATTCCATAATATTGGTTCTGCCATTGAGAAGGTCCTGGCTATATTGGTTCTAGTTAGATTTTCTTTGTGGGCAGTATTTGTAGTTAACTCATGGAAGATGAACAGAGCTTCTGATTAATGACATAGTGGGAAGTTTGTTCTATTAGGCAGAGAGGACCCAAGCTGTAAAGGAACTTCAGTGTCAAACACTTTGAATTTGATTCAGAAGATAATGGGTCATCCATCAGAATAACCAAAGAACTAAACAGATCTAGATAATCAGTATCAACCAGAAGCACCTGGGGCAAGAATAGTCATGTAGAGGCAGTGGTCTCCACCGTGGGCGTCAAAAAAAGTCAAGATGGTGGAAGTGGCATACAAAAGAAGTGGGTGCCACTTCCACCATCTTGACTTTTTTTGACCACCTTCCTTCCCTTGGATACCTCTAGTTGGAGACAGGTTTGTAGCTGTTAAAAATGGAGAGAGCTAGAGGTGTTTTTTTTCAACAGAGGATGCAGAGGAAGGGGTGCTGGGTATACAGCCTTGAGCTCCTGGAAGAAAGGCAGCATAGAAATCTAATAATAACCCAAAAAAGAAAAGATACTGAAATCATTTCAACAGGTTGTCAAAATTCTCAATCTACAGACAACAATTTTTGTTCCACAATTTTGTATACATAGTTAATAATTATTTGTAAATAGTGCTCACAGAGTAACTTTAACTTGTAAGGGAAGGCATCTCTTTTTGGTTGA